TGGTCCATCTGTTCCAGAGCTGTTTTGGAATGCAGTGCAGACCTTCCAACAGAGAGAAAAAGAAACTTCGATTGGTCTGAATTTATCTCTAGATTACATTTAAAATAAGTTTAGCAACTCTTTGATCAGAAAGCTGGACAATAACTAGGGAGGCTAGAAGGATAATTGATGCCTTTGAGCTGTGGTGCTGGAGAAGAGTATTGAATGTACCCTGGACTGCCAAGAAAACAAAGAGATTCATCCTGGAGAGGGTTAAACCAGGCTGCTCCTTGGTGGCAAGGATTCTGAGGCTTCGTCTGACATACTTTGGACATGTAAGGAGGGACCAATCCTTGGAGAGGGATGTCATGCTTGGTAGGGTGGATGGACAGCACAGGAGAGGAAGGCCCTCTATGAGGTGGATTTATTTAGTGATTGAGGTAATCGGAATGGGTGTATCAGAGACAATGAGATTGGCACAGGACAGAACAGAGTTTAGGGCTGTTGTATATAGGGTCATTATGAGTCACAAGCGAGTCGATGGCACTTGACAAACAACAACAGCTCTTTGATCAATTGTCTTTCAAACCTTGAAAACTATATATTAAAAAAAAGCAATATGTACTAGTGGGATCATCAGCCTCATATCACTAAAAACGAGAAGACACAGAGAGGTATAGAAGGATTAATGGAAGTCAGAATCACAGAGAGGGAGTGGGGGAAATTGAGATTACATTGTGGATATTCAAATTAATGTTATAGAACAAAATGGATATGAATGGTTGAACAAAAAATTCATTTGCTCTGTAAAATTTTACTCAAATCACAATTTTGTTTTCAAAGAGGTGCTAATTTGATGGCGAAGTTTTGTCTCACATAATTTAGACAAGCTGTTGTTGTTGTTGTTGTTGATTGCTTTTGAGTTGGGCACGACTCCAAGGAGCTGGAGTCAGAAAAGCAAAATGGCCAAGTTCTCTCAGCATTTCTTAAGCTGAAAGAACTAAAGAATAGATTCAAGCCACAAGTTGCAATGCTTAAGGATGCTGTGGACATGTTGTTAGGGAAGGCTATTCCTTGGAGAGGGACATCATACTTGGAAAGGTGGTAGGATCGCAAAGGATTAGGAGACCCTCAACCAGGTGGATTGACACAGTGACTGCAGCAATGAACGTGTCAGAGATTGTGAGGATGGCTCAAGATAGGACAGGGTTCAGAACTGTTGTTCTTAGGGTCGCTATGAATCACACTTGACTCAACAGCACCTAACGGGAAGCAGGATTTTTTTTCAATAGGAAATTTTGTCCAAAGGTCAATAATTAAAGTAGAGATCAGGCAGGGAAATTACAGTCCTTGAAACTGGACACCTAGAATGCAGTTCAAGAAAAGATACACAGATTGTAAGAGATGTAAGTACAGTCACTGAAGAATGTGTACAAATTGCCAAATGGGAAAATAACCTGCTATTTAAATTTTTAGGGAAAACACTAAAGTAGGGTTTGTGGGTTTTATTTTTTTTAAAGAAAAAATTCTAGAATAGCCTTCTATAATCTAGAGAGATTTTAAAATCATAGGTGGAGTGAAGCCAGTTTATCTTGGAGGCATGAGTGTGTAGGAAGTCTGGCCAGGTGAAGTCACCTTGATAATTTCCCATGAGGTCCCTACCACCTTCTGGGCCAGCATTCAGCGTCTGAGGAGACACAGGGGGGATGCCATGTACTCGAGGGGGCGATGAGGAATTAGTCTCCATGCCAGTAGCCAACCCTGGAGACAGGCCCCAGCCCGTCTCTATAGGACCGGAATAACACACCATCCAAACTCTGTTCCTGTGAAAGTCGAACGCAAGGACGCCTGGCTGCTTCATCAGATTCTCTTTTATTCCGGAAGGCGGGGGCGGGTGGGTGTGGGGAGGAATGAGTTTAATCTAGTACGCTTTAAAAAAATGAAAAATTATTCTGCATATTGCATTATTTAAAAGTATTAAAAATTAAAACCGGTTCGAAGAGTAGAAATCTCTATTTGTAAGGAGTTCTCAGTAGTGAAACCACAAAGGGTCACCGTGTTCACCCCATAATCACCAGCACCAGGTGGATGCTTGCCCAGGCCAGCAAGGGACGGCACTGAAATTGCTTCTTGCAGACCCAGATGTTGGGGGAGCAGGGGACTCCAGAGGTGTGGAACAGCAGCTGCCAAGCTAGAAGGCCGCCCAGCTGCGGCCCGAGCATGCGGGGCCCGGTTATTTAAGCTGGTGACAGGGGGCGGCTTCATAACTCCCTGGAAAGAAGCAGCTTTCTAACGTGGGGGCCTTGCACCAGCACCTAGAGAACGCATCAGCTAGCCATGAAGTTCGCTGGCAGAATCTTTCATTAATCACCCTGGGCTATTAGGAGTCTGTGCACCTCGCTCGGCAGCGGCTGGTGTCCAGACATTGTCCACGCTGCAACCAGATGAAGCCGTGGTCCAGGACGGCTCTCCAGACCCCTCTTGCCTGAGCCCCAGGCAGCTGCCTCCAGCTGTCCTCCATCCCTCCCTCTCTGCTTCTGCAGCTCCCTGGCCCTTGGCAGCAGGCTCAGCTGGAATAATAACCCTGCTCCCTGTCTGCTGCTTCCTCTGCTGATTCATTTGGCTTGCACTGACGCACAGAGAAGGAGCCCTGGGGTGCAGAGTCCCAGGGGGTGTGGCATCTGAATGAGCACCATCACTCCAGGCTTCCTCAGAGGAGCAGAGTGGGTCAGATGCACACCTCCTCAGACGGCCTTTTCTGCTGGGAGAAATCTCAAAGAAGCAGAGAATTCCAAGTCTACGTTGCTGCTGTGGGGCCTGCACATCAGAGGGAACGCAGAGCAGACAAGTCCCGGCTCTTCCAGTCGCTTGTCCCTTAGAAGATGCTTAACTCTTCTGAGCTTTAGTTACTTCTGCAAAATTGGGCACTGCAATGCTGACTGGCCAGGATCCAGCTCGGTGTCCAGACCTGAAGTTGTTGTTAGTCACTGTCAAATGAACCTCACGGAGACCCCACACACAGGACCTGTCCCATACCATCCTCCAGCACTGGACAGCGTGCCCTTGGGCAGCGAGGGGGTTTACCAGCTGACTTTTCGATCTAGGTCATCAGGCCTTTCTTCCTAGTTTATCTTTGTTTAGGAGCCCTGCTAAAACCATACCATAGCAACCCACCAGCCTTCACTGACTGGCAGGTGGCTGTTGCCTGGAAACTGAACCCTGGTTACAAGCCTTGGGCTCCTGTCTTTTCCCTTCAGTTTCCTTCATTTGGGGGCCATACAGTGATCTCGGGTCTGCCTCTAAAGCTGCAAGATCTGGACCAGCAACCAGGCTGTTCCGGCCTCCCCAGTGGAGTTCACAGAGCTGATGAATCAAAGCCCTTTAGCTTCACCGTCCTTTCTATTCCAGGCTGGCTCTTACAAACGAGGCAGGCCAGGACAAGGTCGGAGCAAGGGCAGAAACCTAAAAGCTAACACTTCATTCCTTTTTACCTAAAGATCCTGGGAGAATCTTGCCTGGTATTCAGAATCGCTAAGCTCAGACTTTCACAGGACTTGTGTTTGAATCCCTGCCTGTTAGGAGGATGTCTGTGTCTCCAAAGAGTCCAAGTCTTGGAAGCCTTCTGAGGCACTTCTGTTCTGTCCTATAAGGTCACTATAAGTCAGATTCAAAGCCTGCACTGTGTGTGTGTGTCTGTAGAGTGGAGGTCTCTGATGAGGATAAAGTCCTTATCTTCCACACAGGAGTCCATAGGTTTGAATCCTAATCACAGCACCTCATGTTCTGTCACCACCCACCCATCAGTGGAGACCAGTGTGTTCCTGGCACTAAAAGGGTCTTGGCAGAGCTTCTAGACTAAGATAGTGTAGGAAGAAAAGCCTGGCGATCTATTCCAAAAATTAGTCCATGACAACCTACAGATCACATGGGTCTCAACTGCACCTGGCTCTGGAGTTACCTTCCAACGGGTCAGCACATATTCCCTTGTGCATAAGCTGAGGCTCAGCCGAACGGCCGCTAACAGAAGCATTAATCGGATGGCTTCCCCCTTGCGTTAATCTCACAGTTGCCAGTGCTAACACTGCCATTTACAATTCCCCAGGGGTAGGCTGCAGGTCTGTGGAACAAAACCCAAGTCATAGAGAAGAGCCCCTGAGTGTCCCAGGTCCAGAGAGAGCCTGCTGGATCCCATGTAAATTATTTGCCCCCTCCTGGCAGGTTTGTTCGAATTGCTACAGAGTCCCGGGCATGTTGAGAACATGTCAACACCCAATCACCAGGGTCCCGGGCCTCAGCTGTCCTATATAGTTCGCAGGGACCCAGCTAAGACTTGAGAGTCAGAGAGTGGGGCAGGTAAGGTCAGACCCCTGGCTTTTAGTGGTCCTGTGGGTTCAACTCTGTGCGTTGCCCACTTCCACAACTCTGGTACAGTTGAAGTTAACCCACTGGGTCATTTCTAAAGTGGTAACGGTGCTAAGAAGACAGCAGGTTTACAGGAAGTTAGTCTTAGAGGGCTGTGGTGTCATGGTTGCTAACCTCTCATTGCATAACTACCCTGTGCCCGATGTCCCAGGCACCACAGAGGACTTATAAATATTTACAGCCGACGTGTGTTGCGATGCTCAGCTAATTGCTGTGGTGACGCACGCGGGAGCCTCGGAGGGCAGGTGTAACTGCAGGGCGGGCAGGGGATTAGTAAAGGCACAAACAAGCGCTGCCTGCAGAAGCAGCTTCTTCCTGTTCTTCCCGTGGCCACAGGGCTTCTCCAATCATCGGCCAAAGTTGAGATGAGTAAACGCTTCCAAACAGGACAGGCGTAGGTAGAGTATGGCTCTGGGAAGACCTGGCTGAGAAACAGCCTCGCGCAGATGACTGACCCAGGAATAAGTGCGAATGGCCCAATTTGAAAAGGGGGGGAAAAAAGCCAAGTCTCATTAGTCACCAAAGAAATGAAAGGGATAAATAAGTCATCAAGTGTTGGCTAGGCAGCGTGGCTCTCAAGTAGGAATTTGATGGGTGCGATGTGGCAAGTGGTCACTTCACACGCTGGATTAGGAACATGTAGATGCAACCCAGGCGGAAAGTGAGTGAGTGAGACCCAAACAAAGGCCAATTGTGGACTCTGGCCTATAATCCCACGTGATGGAATCGCTGCTAGGGGCTAATTCAGAGAGATAATCTAAAAATGCAGGATTGGAAGCACATGGCAATTGTCTTTACGATGACAGACATCAGAAAGAATCTAAATGACCCCTCCAAACCTACATCATTGTTAAGTGTCATCAGCCCCTGAAGTGTGTGTGTGATGGTACAAGCTCTGTCCAGTCCTGTGCCCGCCCCTCACCCACCACAGGCTGGACATCTGTGGTTTGTGTTTGGGGAAATTGGTCACCAGGCCTTTCTTGTTTCTCCGTCTTAGCCTGGAAAGTGTTGCCGCAGCCTGTTCTGTGTCATAACACACAAGCCTCCACTGACAGATGACTGGTCGAGGGAGAAATAGATGCTGTCTCCACCAACAAAAGTTTGCATGCTCAGAAACGTGAGGGAAGGTTGCTACGAGTCGGAAGCATGTCAGCTGCAGATGGACATGTAGTTTCATACATCTGTGCATGTATGTCTACTTACGTGCACGTATATTTATATACTATATAGAATGCATTTTTAAAATTTACTTTTTATCCTTTTCTAAATGTGCATATTTAAATGTCTATGCTCACCCTCATAAATATAAATCAAAGTATATATGATATGGCCTGGAGTATTAATTTTTATATTTTCTACAAGCAATTTTTCTATTTTCTGCATTCACTATAAATAGCAAGAATCTGTATTTAGGACTGTTAAAAATATAACAGAAAAAATTATATTTATATATCTATAGATATAGATAGATACAGAGAGACAGAGATAGAGATATATAGTTGTTATGTGCCATCAATTACTTGCGACTCATAGCGACCTTATGTACAACAGCCCTAAATTCTGCTCTGTCTCCAACACACCCATCCCCATTACCCCAGTCACTGAATCAATCCACCTCATAGAGGGTCTTCCCCTCCTGCGCTGTCCCTCCACCCTCCCAAGCAT